ACCGCCGCCTTCTTCGCCCACCATTATCTGGACGACCAACTACCTGCTGTCCGTTTTCCGCCCCGAAGACTGTTTGCTGATTCGCGTCTACAACCAGGCTCGCTACTCGCCTCACCAGCTCCTCGGCGAGACCTCCATGTCTTTGGGCGAGCTGATCACCGCCTCCAAGCGCCTGCAGGGCTTCACCAAGGGCCTGCCGCTGGTTCTGCCCAACGGTCCACTGGGTGAGCAGCTGATGGCCAACTACCGAATCCGGCCCTGTCTGCTGGTCAAGTTTGACATTCTTTAGCTTCCTTCAAGGAGAGGAGTTTTTCCCTGTCAAAGAAAGTCTTGGGTGGCCAATAATAACAGCAATACTCTCTCAACTGCTGGCTGGTTGTAACAGCTTTTTATTGTTATATTAGCTCTGTGGAGGATGAGGAGGAGACTGTACAAAGGTTATTTGGTCTTGATAAAGTGTGTGTGTGTGAGTGTTGGCAACAAAAGTAAGGAACGGTGATCTGTAGCGCCTAAACAACAAGGAATGAGTGTGATAAGTAAAAAGTGAGAGAATAAGTAGGTTAAGGCAAATGGCCATAAAAATAAGTTGGAGGAGTGAAATTAACGTGTGGGCATGTGAGAAAGGTTATGAACATAACAAAAGTGGTTTAAGAGTTGGTGATTGTAAACGGTAGAATGAAGAACTTCAAAGTTGAACATGTTGTTGATGCTCTTCACTTTCCAAAATAATAGTTGTTGTTGTTGTGATAATTGCCATAATGGCCTGAATACTTGTGCTCGTAAGCTGCTTGATTCAAAGCAAAACCATTGCTTAAGATAGCAGTGTTGGAAGAGGGATTTTTTCGCTTCCAAACAAAGATTCGCAGAAGTCGAGTGAAACGCCACAGTTTAGAAACTTGCTTCGGTTGAAAGGCAGCCAGAGTCAGAGACAGCTCAGGAAATGAATTAACAGCAATAAGGCGATCTTTTAGATTCATTCCCAGCAAGTACCACTGCTCGAGGATTTCATTGATGTTCTGGTCACCGTCCATCATTCGTGAAAAGCCATTGTATGAGTTCACTTGAATGAATGCCTTCAGCTTATCGTGCAGCGAGTAGATTCGATGGATGAAAATGTGCAGACTATTCAAACTGGCTGCGTCGATTGTGGTTAGGCCATCAAAGGTTCTCTTTGAAACCATCGGCTGAGGCTGTGAAAACAATGGAGATTGCAAATTGGATTTGCCACCTTGAATGGTTTGAGATGAGTTGGCGCCTAGAATCTTGCTGTCGCTACTTTCCGAAAGTAAGGCATCAAGCGCAACAATTTCATTATAACATGAGTGAAAGTACTGCTCAGCCGAGTTGTTGTAACTTTCGCTCGGGTTTAGTGAACTGGTCAATGAGACACCGTTGCATGCTTGAGAAGATTGATTTGTTGGAAAATACTTTGAAGCTGAGCCAGAATCAAAGATTGGACTATACGTGGGAGTTGAAGGCGGAGACTGAAAAAAATAGTTTGCTAGATGGCAATAAAAGAAAACAATAACAACTTACGTCTGTTTCGTCAATAAAAAGTTTTTCAATGTCGGTGTAGATTCGATGTACTGTAAAGAGGGGGATTATCAATGAAACGCACACAAATACTAACAATATCTTACCAGTATCCATTGGAAATTGATCATCAGCATCTTTGCGTCCCAGAATCGGCCTCGAAGCTTCATTTTGAGGACTAGCAAGCAAGCCTTGCGGCGTCATGGGAGCCGGAGATTGAAAAGATCGACTCGACGAAAGAGAAATCGATCGAGATCTCGGGCCCTTGCTAGCGGGAACATTGACGTTAAGGAAGGGATTGCGTGTTGGGTACATCTTTCTAAAAGACTGAAGATCCAAAGAAAGCAACAGGGAAAACGATGTAGACGTTGATGCCAAGTTTGAGAGATCTAGCGGCGACTAGCAAAAAGGCAACTTGAAAGCCCAAACCCGAAAACCCGGAAGGATGAAAACGAATGTGTGGTTCAATAGCGAACAGACAACCCAAAAAGGCAACCAGGGAACGGGAACGGGGGGTGAGAACCAGAACAACAATGTTCGACAAAGCTCGAGTCGCTGCGAAGATCACGTTGTGCAACAAAAAAGAGCACGCCGCAACGGCCGTTGGCGCGGCCGACAGTTTCAGTTTTCCGCTCAGAGAGGTCGCCACAGCGCGCTCTGCTTTGTTTATTTTTTCGCTCTAAAAACTTTTCCAGAAGAAGCCAACGGACATCAGAGATTCCTGGTCCTTAAAGGCGTTCTTAGGTCCCCAAACCCGAAGATCTCAGGCAACACAGATTTTTATCGGTATTTTAAGAAAGTGAAAGCTCTTTCTCAACTGCTTCCACCCATCTTCGGTGTGTACGGTAACGGGCACCCGCCTACGACTGCCCGTTCTCCAACTGCCGCCAACTGGTGCACCCAATCTTCCCCGTTCATCTTTGCTCCTCATCGCTTCCTAGCCCGTTATCGGCCAGGGCGCCAGTGGTAGCTGGCGCTTGCTGGCAAAGTCGCAGACAGCAGCAGCAGTTCCTCAGTGGCAGACTCTGTCTCAAGCGGTGAATCTCAGCTGCTGCCAAACTCGGCAGTTGCAGCCGACTATCGGCGACAGCTTCTCTTTTTCTTTCTCTCTCTCCTACGTCAGTTTGGCGATTGCGCTGAGGAGCTCGTCTCGTCGGCGTTGGCCTCCTTTGCAGGCTAGCCTCGTCTCGCTGTCTCACACTGCCGGCCACCACTCTTGCACCACTCGTTCCAGAAACCCGTCCTTCTGTCCGTCCAGAAGACCGTCTCTGTAGGTCGGCCAGAGAGGGAAGAGAGTGAGGGAGCGATAGCTGGCTTTGAACTTTGCGTCACACAGCACAGCCAATTCTGAATCTCGTCACAACATCTAAGCACCCAACATTCACTCACTCACCAGTCACCACACTGTACACAACTCAACTCACTTACTCACGTAACTCATTGTTGTTTTGGTGCTGGTGTCGCCGGGGAGCAGGAGCGAGGATATATCGCTTTGATTTGTTACTACTACTGCCTCCACATTTTTACTCCTTTTTTTCGCCTCTGATGACTCTCTGTTAACAGCAGACTGTGAGTGTGTGTGTGTGTGTGTCTGTGTGTGTGCATCAGTGCATTGGTCTCAACGGTTGGTTGTGAGGACAGGGAGAGGAAGCAACCAAGTGATCGTCTGCAACAGCAACATCAGCAGCAGCAGCAGCCGTACAACCAACATTATCTTCATCACCATCCCTCACCATCATCACCATCATCGGCCATGTCCAACTTACCCTCCCCCGACTCGGCCATCTTCACCATCTCTCCGGACCAGAAGGCCCGCTACGATGCCCAGTTTCGGAAGTTCCTGCCCTCGGGCGACTTCATGTCGGGCGAGCAGGCGAAGGGCATCATGCTGCAGTCCGGCCTGCCGCCGATGGTGCTCGCCAACGTCTGGTCACTGGCCGACGTGGACGCCGACGGACGCATGGACATCAACGAGTTCTCCATCGCCCTCCACCTCATTGCCCTGAAGCTGAAGGGAATCGAGGTGCCGCGCACTCTGCCAACCTCTCTCAAGGTTTGTTGTCCTTGTAGGCCTTTGTTGCTGGTTGCTGGTTTCGTACTGATTTGCAATCAACACAGGGCACCGCCATTGTGAACTGATGAGTAGTAGAGTAGTGGCTAGGATGAGATAGTGTCAGCGGCAGTGTTTGGTTCATTGTTTGGGGTTAGCAGTAATCGATTAGGTAGTCCTTTCACTGGCGACTGACTGATTGCAGCAGACATAGCTGCACAGCCACCACCACCACCAGCACCGATAGACAAACAAAGGGCGCCAGTGCTTCTTCTCATCCCAATCAGCCACTGTCACTTTTGCTTCTGCGTATCAATATTAAACTCCGTCTCTGACAGGTCCTCGTCGAGCCGCCGCCAGCATTTGCCGCATTCAACGATCCGCCACCGGCAATGGTGAATAACACCCCAGCCAGAGGACTGGTCCACTCGAGCAGCAGCAGTATTAGTGGCAGTCCAGCAGCAGTGGGAATGGCCGCCACGAAGATGCAGGGCAGCATGGGCAACCTGGTCGGCCAGGCGGCGGTGGCCAGCAGTCCGAAGATGAGCGCCAGCGCCGAGTGGACCGTGCCGCAGCCGTCGAAGCTGAAGTACACGCAGCTCTTCAACTCCAACGACCGCGCCCGCAGCGGCTTCCTCACCGGCCCCCAGGCGCGCAACATTCTCCTGGAGACGAAGCTGCCGCAGGCGAAGCTCGCCCAGGTGTGGAACCTCGCCGACGTGGACGCCGACGGGAAGCTCACCTGCGAGGAGTTTGTCCTCGCCATGCACCTCATCGACAAGGTAAGGGCCAGTGAGCCGCTGCCGGCGAAGCTGCCGCCCGACCTGGTGCCGCCCTCCTACCGGCGAGTGGTGGTCACCGGCGGTGGAGCGGGAGCAGGAACTGGAACGCTGTCGCACGGCTCCTCCCTCGACGACCCCGCCTCGGACAGCGACATGTTGAAGAACAGCTTTGAAGACAAGCGGCGGGAGAACTACGAGAAGGGCCAGGCAGAGCTGGACCGCCGCCGGGCGGCCATGGCCGAGCAGCAGAAGCGCGAGCGGGAGGAGCGGGAGCGCAAGGAGCGCGAGGAGAATGCCCGCCGGGAGAAGGAGCGCCTGGAGGCGGAACGGCGCAAGCAGGAGGAGCTGGAGCGGCAGCAGCAGCTGATCAGGGAGAAGGAGCTAGAGAAGGAGGAGGCGAAGCGGCGGCAGTCGGAGGTGCGTGAGCTGGCCCGCCGCGAGATGGAACGCCAGCGCCAGCGGGAGATTGAGCAGACGCAGCGGCAGGAGCTGATCAACGTGCGCAGTCGCCTGCAGGAGGAGGTGCTGAAGCTGAAGTCGAGGCGGAAGGCGCTGAAGATCGAGCACGAACAGGCGGAGAAGCGGATTGCGGAGAGCAAGGCGGCGGCGCAGGCCTCCCGCGACAAGGTGGTCCGCGTGAAGGCGGACATTGATGGGATGCGCTCAAGAAGGGACGGCATTCTGGCGCGACAGGCCGCCACGAAGGAGCAGATGAAGGCACTCACCGACCGGCAGCTCTTCATTGAGCAGGAGAAGGTGAAGTTGTCGGCGCAGCTCAAGACGCTCTTTGGTAAGCGAGGGAGTGCTGGTGGTGCTGCTTTGTTTACAATTCTAAAACCTTTTCCTTTTCACAGCCAACGCCAGCAACGGCCTGGGCAGCAGCACCGCCGACCAGATNGTGGTTTGTTTACAATTCTAAAGCCTTTTTCCTTTTCACAGCCAACGCCAGCAACGGCCTGGGCAGCAGCACCGCCGACCAGATGACCAGCTTCGCGTCGATGCTGCAGGCGAAGCAGCTCGCAATCAACCAGCTGCGCGCCCACGTCGATCGCTACGAGTCGGAGTACAAGACGAAGCGGGAGGACGTGCGGACCGGCCGCCAGGAGCTGGAGGAGATGAAGCGCCGATTTGAGCGGAAGCGACAGGAGGCGAAGGCATTTGCTGACCGCATCGAGGCGAAGCGCCAGGAGGCGGAACGGCTGAGGGAGCTGGGAGCGGATGCGGCCCGGTCGCCTGGCCTCTCGAATGCCACCACGGCGGCGCCGGCCTTCTCCAGCAGCGACGTCGAGGTAATGTCGGTGCCGCAGTTTGACTGGGGCAGCCAGTCGAAGAAGAACGAGGGATTTAGCGGCGGCAGCGCTGCGCCCAGTGCTGGCAGTAATCGTCAGCCGAGCTCGCTGCAGACCAAGTTCAAGTACCAGTGCATCTACGAGTTTGAGGCGCGGAACAAGGACGAGATCAGCATCAAGCCGGGGGACATCATCATGGTGGACACGTCGGCCGCCTCTGAGCCAGAGTGGCTCTCCGGCGAGGTCAACGGCAAGGTGGGCTGGTTTCCGCAGGGCTACGCCGAGCTGATTGACGAAAATGGCGACTCGGCGATGGCCGTCGTCGACAATGAGCCGAAGCCGCTGGATGCCGCCTGGGGCGCCGCCTCGGTGGACAACTCGGCGGAGGTGGCCGCTGCGGAGGAGGCGGCAGCTGCCTCATCCTCTGCTTCAGCCACTACGGCCCCAGCCGACAGCAGCTTCACCGCGACGGCCAGCGCCAACACGACCACCCTGAAGACGGCCCGGGCGCTGTACGACTGGACGTCCACTGAGCAAGGTCACCTCAACTTCAACACCGGCGAGCTGATTCGCATCACCGAGTACCAGGACACGTGGTACTATGGAGAGCTGGTCAGTGGCGCGGCCGCTGGCTGGTTCCCCGAAAGCTACGTGGAGATTGTCGCCGGAGATGCTGCTTCAGCTGCTGATCAGCCGCCCTCGTACTACGTCGGCCTGTACGCCTTTGAGTCGCAGGAGAAGGGCGACCTGGAGTTTGGCGAGGGGGAGCTGGTGCTGGTGGAGAAGAAGGACGGAGAGTGGTGGACGGGTGTCATTGTCGACCGCACTACCGGACAGCCCAATGAAGCTCGAAGGGGCATCTTTCCCTCCAACTTTGTCGGGCCGGCCACGGCAGCAGACATTCCCTTGGTAGGGTGTTTTGTTTTAAATCACTTTCATCTTTACTGATCATTGCCCTTTCTTTGCCAATTGTAGAGCGTTTCTAGTGCACCAAAGCCAGCGGTTGCTGCTTCGGCAACTCCCGCTGCTGCTGCTGCTGCTGCTACTGTCGCTGCTCCCGTCGTCGCGGAAG